CTTGCTTAGGTTAGGCGGCTTGTCGAGGGGATATGTCGACGGTGGCCTCCCGGCAGGTTGGTCCTTAGGTGCTGCTGGGGACAGGCTGCCGTGAACTGACTGAGGCGTCCCTGGCGTATCAAGTCCTCAACCTGGTCTTTAAGGTTAACACATTCCTCAGTGTTGTGGCCGTGGTCCTGATAGAAACGGTAGTACTTGGATTGATCTTGACGGTTGGAGGGAGACCATAACGGTTGGGGCCATCTTAGGTTGTAATCTTGTTGGATCTGATTCAAGACTTGTTCCATGGAGGAATAGAGAGGGGTGTATCTCTCGAACCGATCGGGAGGTCGTGTTGGTGCCGGTCGGTCAGCTCGAGCTAGTCAGTCGGTATACTGGGGGATTTACTATGAATATTGAGAGGATCTGATTTCGGTTTCCTTTCTTTTCTCCTTAGGGGTTGGATTTTCAGTGGTTATGTCTTGGCGAGCTGCCAAAGAGTCTTCAACATTCATATATTTTTGGGCTTTGGAGAAGAAAGTGGCCATGGCGGTCAAAGGATTTTTAGAAAAGGGAGAAAAAGAAATCGGATGGTCGTAAACTGGTCATGAAGGCTGTGCGGATGACCTTATCGTCATTCTTCACCACTAGTAGGGCCTCGATGTTGAAATGGGTGACAAAGCTACGCAGTGATTCCCCTACGGTCTGACGGATATTAAGCAATTGAATTGCTGGGCGCCGCTGGCACTGAGCACCAATGAAATGGCTCAGGAAGGAATCGCTTAGGTGTTAAAAAGTAGAGACAGAGTCCGGTGGGAGCTGACTAAACCAGAGTCGAGCCGACCCGACCCCTTAAGCCTTACAAGGGAATCCTGACACATGATCTCATCAAGAAAAGCATGGAGGATCATGAGGGTCCTGTAGGTCTCCAGATGGTCAATCAGATCCGTTGTGCCGTCGAATGAGTCGATCGAGGACATTTTGAACTTGGGAGGTAAGGGTTTATCCCTGATGGAGGCGACAAACGGGGAGTTGGCTGTTGTGGAAGGTTTGTTCTGTATGTTCTGCATGACTCCTTGAAGCTAGAGTTTCATGGCTCGAAGTTCCGCGTCCCAGATAGGAACATTGTCACCTCCAGAATGTAGTGGAGGTTGGACACTACTAGCCTCTCCTTCAGGAGCAGGTGCTTGAATTGATAGATGTAGACCTCGAGGTAGCAGGTTCATGTCTTGAGATGGGGCTTATAGACCCTCTAAGTTGGAGAGGTGGGCTTGTTGGAAAGGATGGCTCGGGGTTCGTTCTCGATTGGGAGGGATATCTTGTGGTGGTGGAGGAGGTATAGGGAGGTCTCACTGGAGCAAAGCATTGATCAAGGCCTGGTTTTGCTCTGCCAAACGATTGATACTATTGGTGAGTTCTGTGAAATACTGGGGTGGGTTGTTTGGGTTGGGAGGGTCGGGTTGGGGGTCGACGACGTTGTGTTGAGAAGCCATGGATCTCGTTGTGACCATCCACTTTGATGGCCGGCGAGGAGAAATTATTGGGAACAGGTCTCCGGTAACAATGAGCACAACTGTCACGCGGAGTTGCATTTCCCACAGATGGCGCCACTAATGATACTGCTGATCCCTGGAGGATGGGTCGGGCTGACCCACACTTCCAACACCGTTGTCTGATCACTAAGCCCACTGAGGTACCTACACAAAAGCCCAACGGGGAACGAGAGCCCCCTAGCGGACCCTTCGACGATCAAGTTAGAAGAGAGAGGGGTTAATGGTGTGTAGAGAGAGAATAATGATATGAAACTTAACCTTTTGTGTGTCTTGAAAGCCTTCTTATATCCTTTATTCATCATTTCCTTGTCCACTCTGACCTGTCATGTTGGCCGAAAGTTTATGCTCTAGCTTACCTTGTTCATGGTGAGGCAGCCCGTTCCGACGTGAAGGGGTTATCGCGTTTAATGCTGTAGGAGCATCATTAATGGCTGATGTGTGGTGCAATAATTCTGTAGGATCTTTGTCTACTTACGTGGCCGGTCCTTTTCTTGACAAGTGTCTGGATGCCATTGATTCCTGGTGCAACGTTGGGTTTTCAATGGTGTTGGATTTTAGCACTTGAACTGTGAATTGAGCTCTAAGTAGTGAGCCAAAAGCTTCTGTGGGCCCACTGATGTCAAATTTGGTTCAATTAATCTAATCATTTTTGAATCTCAGTCTATGAATTCAACTATAATAAATGATTATTAATATGGAAAATGCCTGGTAGCTCGAAGCTACCAGACTCGAAAATGGCTCGAGAGGAAGAGAGAGAGAGGGAGAGGGAGAGGGAAAGGGAGAGAAAGAGAAGGAGAGGAGAAAGAGAAGGGAGGGAGAGGAAGAAGGTCGGCGTCGCAGCTCCCGCCGCCGCCTCTGCTTCCTCTTCGTCGCAGCCCGCCGATGTCGCCCAGCCTCCCCTCCTCCTCAAACCGGTTTTTATGGGGCCCCCTCCCTCCTCCCCCCTCCTCCTCCTCCTCCTCCTCCTCCTTCTCTTCTTCTCCGCTTCTTTCTTTTTCTTCTTCTTCGTTCTACAAAACCAGGGAAGAAAGAAAGAAAAAACAAAAAAAAACAAAAAACAAAATCGACACCAAAACGACGTCGTTTTGGTGTCGAGCCGCGTTTCGAGTCGCGACATTCGAGCTACGTAGCATGATCGTATTAATATATTGAAACAAGAATCTAAGTGTTCTTTTTAAAAGAATCTACGTAGCATGAGTTTTTTAAAATTTATTTTCTATTTTTTTCTTCAAATAAATTAATGATTAATTTGATTAAACAATGAAAAAAAGGAAAATCAAAAGTATTAATCACTTTCATTTGATTTTCCATTTTTGTTTTTGAAGCAATGAAATAACTTTGATCTTTTTCAAAGACTAAACCAACAGATAAAATTTTGACCGGTTGTACCAATCTTCTTGAACAGTTGAGTTTTTTAAAATTTATTTTCTATTTTTTTCTTCAAATAAATTAATGATTAATTTGATTAAACAATGAAAAAAAGGAAAATCAAAAGTATTAATCACTTTCATTTGATTTTCCATTTTTGTTTTTGAAGCAATGAAATAACTTTGAAAATTAAAAAATATTCTATTGGTTTTATTTTAGTCAAATTAATTTATAATTAAAAAAAAGAAAATTAATTCTAAAAACTCATTCCAACACGGTAAGGTGATTGTTATTTCAAAATTTAAGAGGGATTTTCTATTATTATTATAAAATAAAATAAAACTGAGGCGGCTTTTGATGTAATTTACTCTAGTAAATAGTAATGCCCAAAATAACCAAAAAATTTCAAAAATAAAAATAAAAAATCAAAGAATCTTATCAATTGTGCGCTTATTTATTTATTATTTTTGATGATTGGGTATTCGAATCAGTTTACGTGCACCTCAACTAATTCTGAAATCCATACAAAACGACCCTTTCACGTGAATTAGGCAAATATTATTTTTGATGATTGGGTATTCGAATCAGTTTACGCGCACCTCAACTAATTCTGAAATCCATACAAAACGACCCTTCCACGTGAATTAGGCAAATATCAGGCAAAACTCACGGGCATGACCTCAAAGACTGGATTGCTCCTAATGGGAAAGGTCTCCTCCACGTGAATTAGGCAAATCTCAAAGAGAGCTTGCAGGCATGGTCCCAAAGAGCAAATTGCTCCTAATGAAAGTTGAACCCGAGACCTAAAGGGAATACACCTCTGGATCCTAAATTACACCTACTAAGCCAATCTCTTGAGGTAAACGTACATTTATTCTTAACATGTATTTAAAATCGACATTAATAAAATTAAAAAAATAATAATAATTATAAGTGCAACCCATGTATAAGATTTCTCGTATGATATACGCCCATTAATTAGTAGGACCAGATTAGAGTGATCACAACCATTGAAACAAAAGGATCTCATTGAAACTCAATCAGGCGGCCCAGATTCCACATATCATGAGCAGAAATGCACAGGATCCTGACCACTTCCCATTTGTTGGGGTGGAACATGAATACATACAAATGTAATGTATATATACATACCTAATGGGTCCATTAAAAGAAATAATACTATACGTATCAATTAGTATACTAATTAGTGTACTAATTGATGATGTAATATAATTTAAGAAATTTTTGAGATTTATAATGTAATTAATGAGTGGAGTCAATAATAGGCCTCGTTTGGGAAGTGGCTATTTTAGTAGGCTATTTTAGTTTTTGGTTATTTTAGTAGGCTAAAATTTTTGTGTTTAGGAAGATGATTGGATTTTTTTGTGGTTAGATGTAATGTTTGTGAGAGAAAAAGTGAAATGATTATAAGTTTGATGTGATATTTTGTCTTATTAGCTATTTTAGCCTATTTTGTCTTTTTGTGATTTTTAGCCTAAACTAGGCTATTTTTTTTTTCCAAACACCCCCATAATGTCATAACTAGTGTTGATACACTAGTTAGTATATTAATTAGTGCATGTAATACCATCAAAGATAAATAAAAAACAGCGATATCATTTATGTTAATTAATTACTCTTTCTGTCTTAAAATAATAATTTATTTTGAAAAATTTAACTTTTTTAATAATACAATTATTACATTTTTAAAAAATTATTTTTTCAGAATTATCCTTTAATAATATATTTTTTAAAGAATATCAATTATTTTCTTAATAAATTTAAAAATATGATAAAAATAAAAAATATTTTATTTTAATTCTTAATTTCTAAAAAAGAAAAAATTATTTTGAAATAATAAAAAAATAAAATAAAACACTAATATTTTGTGACGGAAAGAACGTTAATTTAATCAAACATCTGTGAGTGGGGTAAAATCACATGGCCAGCCGCGCATAGCACCTTATATGCGTATAATTACCCTGAGGCCGACCCCAATCCGCTGTGAACCAGTGACCGTTGATTCATCGAGTTGGGCCCACGCATGTGTTTCTTTGGGTGAATAGGCCCACAGATGTTGCCAACACGGTGATGTATTCGTTTTCATGAGGAAGGAATCTCCAATGAAAAGCCAGTGCGCAGGTTCAATCCAAGGCAGTGATCATTGAAAGCAAGAAAATCAGAAAATGGAAAGGGAACTTTGCTTTCTTCTTCACCCATTTGTTTTTATTTTATTTCTTTATTTAATTAATCAATCAATCAATTCAATCACTCTTTCTCTCTCCCTATTATTAATTTAATATATTGATGTGTCCGTCTGTCTATGTATATGATGGGAATACATATTTATATGTATGTGTATACAGGCACTTTGTTTGAATATTTCTTTAATTTTTCTGGCATCTCTGCTGTTGGATTTAGGTTGGGTTTTTCGGGTACTTTATTTGTTCTCACTTTTTGTCTCTCTTTCTTTCTCTCTCTCAGACACAGTCCATCATATGTTTGTGGTTTAACATGTTTTTTGTTTGCCTAATTCTGGGTTAAAATTCACTGGTATGTTTTTTTAATTATTTTTTGGGTGTAGATATGCCGAATACTTGGAAAGAATGGTTGAAGATCGTCTATGTCGTTTTTGCCTTTTGTTCTGCTCTCTGTTTTGGTGCTCTCAAAAGTCAGTTCCTTCTCTCTCTCTCTCTCAATTTGTTTGTTGATTGTTTGCTCTGGTTTGAGTATTTGGGTTTGGTTGTTTTTACAGTTGTTATTCAATCTTTGTGACTGTTCATGTTTATCTAATTATGGGTTGTTAATATATATGTATGTATTGGTATCTTCTTGTTGCAGGTTTACTGGTGGGTCCAATTGCTGGTCTGATACTAATAATAGGGAATGTTGGGGTGATTTTGGGACTCTTCCCCTCACATGTTGCCTGGACTGTGTACACCCTAGTCAAGTAATGGTTCTCAAACTTCCTCTTGTTTTTTTGTTTTTTTTCCCAATGATTGTTTTCTGTATAGTGATTTTGATCAATAATGTTAAAGTTTTGAAGTGGGTTTTCAATTTCTTGACCTATATTCTTGGTATCACAGGACTGATAGGTTCGACACACCTCTTAAAGTAGCTTTCTTGTTTGCTTTGCCTGCTTTATTTGGTATTTGGTTGGGTCTCAGCATAGCTGGTAGTGTTCTTGTGGGAGTTGGGTATGGGTTCTTTGCTCCCTGGGTATCTGCCTTTGAGGCCTTCAGACATGAAGATGAGTCCAAAAAGTTCTTCCACTGCATTGTGGTAAACTTTGAATTGTCTTCTCTCTGACCATTTGAGTGTTGTTTTGATATCTTCAGTTCCTTTTTTCTCCAAATTGTATTTTCTTTTTTCTGTCCTCTTATGAACATTCAGGATGGAACTTGGGGAACTATCAAAGGAAGCTGTACTGTGGTTCGAGATTTTGCAGATTTTTGCTATCATTCATACCCACTGTACTTGAAGGAATTGCGCGAATCCCCGAGTTCTAATGAGCTCCAACCTCTTAGGTATTAATATTATAGTTTTACTCAATAATTTGAATCAAAACCTTTTCCTTTCTGCAATTAGGATAAATCTGCAGTCATGAATGTGAAATATCTGATAGTTGAATTGCTTAATACCATCTGAAAAGAGCAATTAGTTTCAGAAACCACTCATTTGAAGCCATCTTGCAGGTTCATTCATGTGCCCGGATGCATTATTGTTGGGCTGATGGGATTAATTGTGGAGATTCCTCTTTACACGGCTATTGCTATAGTAAAGAGTCCATACATGTTGTTCAAGGGGTGGCACAGACTGATACATGATCTAATCAGTCGCGAAGGCCCATTTCTGGAAACAGCTTGTATCCCAATTGCCGGTTTGACAATCCTTATGTGGCCACTTGTTGTCATTGGGAGCATCATATTTGCTGTTTTCTCAAGCTTCTTTATAGGACTGTATGGTTCAGTTATAGTATACCAGGTTAATATGAATCCTAGTAATCCACAAGAAATTAATTTTGCTGCATTTAAAAATTGATCTTACCCATAAACCTTCATATGCTTGTAGGAGAGGTCTTTCAAAAGAGGAGTTTCTTATGTGATTGCTATGGTGGCAGAATTTGACGAGTACACTAACGATTGGCTTTATCTTCGAGAGGGGTCTATCCTCCCAAAGTAATCATTCTCTCAATCATTTCTTCTTTTCATCATCCTCATGAATGATGATTATAGCCTGCTTACTATCAGAATTAGGCTTCCTTTGGGAGTTTGTTAAAAAACTAACTGGCTAAAAATAATCCAACAAAAAAGCTAAAGCTAAAAAAAGCTAGTTCATTTGGTATATTCATAGCTTTTTTTGTCTTTTCTATGGACTTTTTAGAGTGGCTAAAGTTGGCTTTTTGGCAGAAATTGGGTGTGCCAAATGACCTAAAGGTATTAGCTAATAAGCTAGCTTATTAGCTTGTGCCAAATGAAGCTTAAGCATTACCCTAACAATTAGCTTTATCTTCAAGAGGGCTTCAATGCTGCTATAGTTCCTCTTTTTTGACGTTTTCAGTCCTTAACAGTAGACATTATTTGTTCACAGCCAGGCCCCAATACAGAAAGAAGAAACTCCCTCACTCATCGGAATTCTCTGTAGGAGGAAGTCGGTCGCCTGAAGGCAAAATGGCCTCTGTTTTGACAGAAGCACCTGCAATGCTTGTGCCAAGCTTAACATCTTCGAGATCAGTCAGAGAGGCAATTCAAGAAGTGAAAATGGTGCAGGTGAATTCTCTTCTGTCATAAGTAAGACTCCTACTGTTGGACGACAGTTTAGAATTATCAGAAATATCTTGCTTCTAATATTTAACATAATGCTTCAAATATGCTTTAACTTAGGCTTCTTGATTCGTGAAATGAATAACATGACAAGCCTCACCAAAACTTAGGTTTCAAATAGTTCATACTGTTTTTTGTTTTTTCTCTTCATTTTGGCTTTCTTGATTTCCTGAGCAAGGAATATTATCTATGGGGGTGTGAGCTTACTTAAATGCACACATACATATTGAAAGTAAGAGTGATATCAATTATATGACGAGATATAGATTATTGAACTTTAAAAATTTCTGGGCAAAAACTGAGAAATAAAAATTATGAAAAATGTTTTGTAGTTTGTAGTATTAGTGAAAATTATCTCAACCAAACTCTATCTGAGGGAGTTGAAGTCATCAACACGAAAGCTGAGTTTGATTAGTATGAAAGTTGTGGAAAGTGAGGGAAAGAACAAAATATAAGTGGTGGAAAGTGAAGGAAAGAAAAAAAAAAATCTAAGTAGTGGAAATTACTAGAAATTTAATTTTTCTTGTATAACTCATATTAGCATGGTAACTAAGTTCTTGCAAAAATCACAGGAAAACATTAAATTTATCCATTCAAGGGTCTTGTAATTAAAATTTCAAATATCTCTTTTTCTTGCAAAATTTCTGTCCTAATCAAATATTTGCAAGAAAATATATTTTCCTTTCTGTTTCTTTTCTTTTTTTTCACTTAACTTTCTAACACTTGCACTTTCCGTAAATTTTTTCTCTCTAATCAAATGATTATTGACTTACCAATCTTCTTTGTCTGTTGTGCTTGAATGAATGAAATTGTACATTTTGTTTTGCCTCATAATGAAACAGGTATGGGCAAACATGATGAGATCATGTGAAACGACGGGCAAGGAATTATTGGATGCAAACGAGGCCTAAATTTATCCATTCAAGGGTCTTGTAATTAAAATTTCAATTATCTCTTTTTCTTGCAAAATTTCTGTCCTAATCAAATATTTGCAAGAAAATATATTTTCCTTTCTGTTTCTTTTCTTTTTTTTCACTTAACTTTCTAACACTTGCAGTTTCCGTAAATTTTTTCTCTCTAATCAAATGATTATTGACTTACCAATCTTCTTTGTCTGTTGTGCTTGAATGAATGAAATTGTACATTTTGTTTTGCCTCATAATGAAACAGGTATGGGCAAACATGATGAGATCATGTGAAACGACGGGCAAGGAATTATTGGATGCGAATGTAATAACACCAGCTGACCTCTATGATTGGCTGAAGGCTAAAAACAGCCATGAAGCAGCTATTGTCGGTGTTGGGCTGCCTTGTTATTCATTCTTGCAGACTCTTCTTTGTTCCATAAAAGTTGGATCGGATGGTTTATTGCTTCTTGATTTTGAAATCAACTATCATAATAGACCACAGGACAGATTGTTGGACTGGTTCTTCCAACCGGTAATGGTTCTGAAGGAACAGATAAAAGCCATAGAATTGGGAGAGGATGAGGCAAGGTTCCTAGAGAAAGTTGTTCTCTTTGGAAGCAATACTCAACGCATGAAGGCTTGGGAAAATGGCAGTTTGGTACCTCAGGATGCTCTTAGAACTGCTCAAATCCAGGGCATTAGCAGAAGGTAAGAACTTCATAAACATTGATGCATTTTGGTTTTAATGTCTTTGGTTTTTGTTTTTGTGTGTTTATAGTATGAATATATATTTCATGTTCTCCAAGGAAATAATACTTCAGCCATAATGGATGAAAAGGGGAACCTCTTGTATTATTGATTACACTATATAAAGAAGAATAGTTTGTTACAGTGTGTTTTTACATCATCCCCTGGAAACAGAAAATAGCTCCATTCTGTCTTTCATAACATAAATATTACAAAGTTCACCTTCATATATATTGGATTGTATCATTCACATAGGATGTCTAAGCTTGTCCTTTTCTCTCCATCTTGCTGAATTATTTTTATGTGCAATCCCTTTGGACTAAATTACATTCTTGTGGGAACGTGTCATGTTTGTTTTGTTGGACTAGATTACATGGGACTATTAGTGTTGATATTGAGATTATCCATCTCTTATCATATCCCAAGTTTAGAATAACCTCGAATTAGAAGGGGGTTTAGTAAAATTTTATCATATCCCATGTTTGTTTGGAATCACTAGACATGGATTACATTAGTATAATGACCATAATTTGAGGATAATTTGGTCTTTTAGCCCCCCTAATACGGGGGGACTATCACTCCGGAGGTCCACTTTTGTATCCAAACATGGGAATCAGGATTGACCATAATACATAGTCTAATATGACCTAATCTTCAAACAAACAAAACCAAAATGGCATCTCTTAAATGGACAGTTCCGGGCAATAGCTACCGTCTCTGAATCAGATTCCAACACAATGTTTATTCAATTTTTGTTCCCAGGAAATAAGGTGTCCTTGCTTGACCAATAAAGCTAGCATTGTGATCAAGCAACTAGAAGTCCTATCTGTCCATAGACAATATCTCGAATACTTTGGTAGTGGCCACATTTGCTGGCATTTAATGTTTGGACATTAGCCCACAGCTCTTTGAAAGCTATAGGACATGAGTCTAAGCATAGACCAATGGGGTCTGTGGCCCCACTCAAATTTTGAGAAATTTAGCAACTCTAATTTTAAGAATTTTACTCTTTGAAAGGTCCATGAATTGAGAATTGGGTAGGGGTTAGCATGGGTGTTAGGGACAATAGGAAAAGCCAAATTAAAGCCATGGATAAGGGGAATTGGCGTTGGAGTCGTATTCAATTGAGTGTGATTGATTTCCCTTCTGAGAAGTTGGGTTCATGTCATAGACAATATGATATTCCCGGATATGCTTTTTTGTTGCTTTCTTTTTTGTTACATTGTAAAAAGCTAAATTTTCTCTGAACACTACTGATATATATTCTTTTGGGTCAGGATGATGGGAATGATTCGAAGTGTATCAAAGTTTCCAACTTACAGGAGGAGATTTAGGCAGATTGTGAAGGCCTTAATCATTTATTCCATAGAAAAGGAGGGTGCCAACAGATCATTTTCTATGAGATCAGTTGCCTCTGTCGAAGTTGTGTAAGACTAACTTCAACTTATTATTTTTTGTTATGTATTCATGTAAATTCTTGTAGTTTGTGAGAACCATTAGGGTGTGACGACGGTAATTGCTGCTAGTATATAGTTTTTTTTTTTTTTTTTCTTTCTAGGTTTAAAGCGGTGTCTGGAAATTAAGTAAGCATTGGGTTACCGATGCGAACATGGTCCCTTTTATTTTCATCAGTAGAAAGTCAGAAAATCATATACAATCAGTTTTACTAAATACTAGATTAAATAAATTATGGAAAATTTAAAAAAAGAAAATAAAAGATAGAAAGTTTTCACCCAGTGACTTTGGTGTTTGAAGAATTCAAACAGAAAGCAGTGAAAATGCAAAATTGCTGCGCCTACAATAAGTTGTATTGAGAATCTTATTTTTTGACATTTTTTTCTTCTGTCCATTGTCGTTAGTATGAATTTTATGAGATTAAGTAATGAATTTTATATTTGAAAAGAAAAAGAAATCTCAATTTACCATATCATTTAATATAATTTTATTTGTAAAAAATATTATAATTGCAATAGCATTATCATTAGAAATAGGAATTGGTACAAAACTCCATGGAAAGGAGGTCAAACATGTTACATAAAAGTAGACAAAAAGTTCAACATTATCCTACAAATCTTTAAAAAAAATTAGAAAAAAATCCTCTATTAACTTGTTAGTTTTTAAATGATCATCTATGTGTATTACTATTGTATTAAATTTTTACTCGTAGAAGAAGGGAATCCCAGTATAATGCAAAAGAGAGTTTTTTCTACTCAATAATTTTATGAACACAGTATAAATAGATGAACACAATTTTTGAAAAGTGAACCTTATCAGTAAAATCTCACCTATTTCTCTCTTTATAATTTGAGTAAATTTATTATGGCTCCGTTTGGCAAGAGTTAAACGGGATTTTTTTGACTATTTTAGTTACAAAAGATAAAATAGGCTATTTTAGTCACAAAAAATAAAATATCACATCTAACCCATAATCATTACATTCTTCTCTCACAAAAAAAAATTAAAAAAGATAAAAAGCTAAAAAGTCAAAAAATTCTTTCCAAACCAAACTTTTTAGCCCAAGTTAAAATAGTCAAAAAAAAGTCAAAAAAACTAAAAAATTAACCAACTTTCTAAACGAAGGCTTTATCCGATTCTATATTTAATTTTTATATTCTTAACATTACTGTTATATATATATATATATATATATTTTTTTTTCCACTCTGCTATACTTGTTGGCACCAGATCCCAGAGGAATTTATGCCACCGTCGCCACTTTTAGTGGCTGTTGTTTGCTTATGTCTATTTGTGTTGTGTGTGATTATCAACCACAATTTGGAGTCCATAAATAATAATGATATCACCAACATAGTCTTAGGGGATTATATTATTTAGTTCTATACTACAAATAGAATGGTATGCACCAGTAGTGTACACCAATAATTATATGAAACCGGTTCAAACAATAAATAAATAAACAATAATTATATGAAACATACCACTAATCCAACAATAATTATTCTAAAACAACAATAATTAAAAAATAAAAGTACAAATCAATAATATTTTTTCAGGATATTTATAAATTCATAAAAAAATTCTAACTTTAATTATTAAAATTGATAAAATTTACCATTGATTTGTAATTTTTTTTTTATAAATTTTTACACAGAGGTGCAATTTTTCCTAATTAAAAAAAAAAAAAAAACCTGTCCAGTGTAGTATACAAAAGAAATATCAAAACAACCAACTTGTAAAAATTTGTTTTCGAATTGTCAAAAATATTTTTTGCGTAAAAATGAAAACTGATTCTTATTTGGTTTCAAAAAATTGATTTTTTTTTTTTATTTTTTGTATTTTTTTATTTTTGGCCAAAAAATTTAATATTTTTATTTTTCGCCTAACCTAGATACATTTAAAGAGTATAATATTTATGAAAAAATCTTTTAAAAAATTCATCAAATATAAAATATATAAAAATTCAATATATTTTCATATTCTTGTGTATTTATTGAATTTTTAAAATATTTTTTCACAAATATTTTACTTTTGAAGTACATTTAAGTTATGTGAATTTAGAAAGTAAAAAAGTTGCTTACAATATTAAAAAAATTCACTAAAAATTAAAAATAAAAAAAAAACAAAAAAAAAAACTCAATTTTTAGAAAATCAATCAAAACCAAACAAGATGTAGGCCTCGTTTGGGAAATGGCTATTTTAGTAGGCTATATTAATTTTTGGCTATTTTAGTAGGCTAAAATTTTTGTGTTTGGAAAGATGATTGGATTTTTTTGTGGTTGGATGTGATGTTTGTGAGAAAAAAAGTGAAATGATTATAGGTTTGATGTGATATTTTATCTTATTAGCTATTTTAGCCTATTTTGTCTTTTTGTGATTTTTAACCTAAACTAGGCTATTTTTTTTCTTCCCAAAATCTTATTTTTCAAATTTACATTATTTTTATTTAAAAAGAAATGAAAATGATAACAAAAAGCAGACTTCCAAGCAAGCGAGTAAAAGTAATAAGCATGGAAGAAATTGGCCAGAGATTGAACACATCCAAGCTCCAACGCCTGAGTCCATACCCAGATTGAAGCCGTTCTTGTCCCAGCAGCAGAACATCAACCTAAGTTAATTTCTTAGAGCATCTCCAACGATGTACCAAATGTTTCACTAAATTTGAGTTAAAAATGGGTCATTTCTTTAATTTGATACTTCGCGCTCCAACGGTTCAACATCAAATCCGTTTCATCAAATTTGTGCTATCTAATGTTCATCAGATTTCAATAAATTTTAAAATTATAGAATGAAACATCAGATCATTTACATCATTCACATCATGTTGATGTAAAAATGGGACTAAATGGTTCAACGTTTCAAAAACTAGGATTTATGGGTAAATTTTCCTAAAAGTAATAAGCATGGAAGAAATTGGCCAGAGATTGAACACATCCAAGCTCCAACGCCTGAGTCCATACCCAGATTGAAGCCGTTCTTGTCCCAGCAGCAGAACATCAACCTAAGTTAATTTCTTAATTGAGGCGGTTCCAAACAAAGAATCAATCAACACATTGTATTATTGTTTTGTATCGCGTTCACACATGCTTGCTTCTCCCAAACAAAAGTGCTTTAGCGCCTTCCAATCAGAGATTCGGAGCCACCATATGCACAAGTAAAGAGAGATCGCGAATCTGCGAGCATGTGGTCCTCGTTTTTACCTCTCTTCCTGTTGCGATTCCTCGTGTTATCATTATACAACTAGGTGACAACCGCACCTATACAAGAATCCCAGAAAAATCCCCAGATTTTTTTATAATGACTGTAAAAATAAGGAGTAAACCCCCATTTTCTCCAAATCAAAATTGTTCATTATGTACATAATTTTTATACCCCAAAAAAATTACTGGTAATAATATTTTTATACTTATGGTTTAATATTCTAATAACGTAAATATGTACAAATGAAAATTATATTTTTTTTTTGAAAAATATTTTAGAACTCTAAATTGTGAGTTATTCACTATGTGATTTGATAGTTTTTTTTTTTTTTGTATTGCCATAATAAAGTTCTGATTAAAACTCTATTATTAAAGTTCTTCATTGTTTGGTACACTTTCACCATTATGGCATTACGTTTCTAACTGTTTCCACTGGGTGCAAGAGAAACAAATGAAGTAGAGTGGAGATGGCGAAACTCTGAAGTGTTGTTTGTTTTGTACTTCTTCACTTGCACAAAAGTAGAGTAAAGCCACAGAGCAAGGATCCTCTAGAGTGATTTTTCTCTAAAGTTTCCTAGAGTGTTACATTGTGTGGTTGAGATTTACTGGCAAGTCACATCAATTTTTCTGATGTGACTTGCCAGTAAATCTCAACCACACAATGTAGTACTCTAGGAAACTTTAGGAAAATTTCACTCTAGAGGATCCTTGGTGAAAGCCACATGGGAATACAAATAGGATCTGCTCCCGTAGCTTCCACGGCATGGCGCGTGCTGCCACTTCTCCCGGGACCCACCATCAAGCACATTACAAAACTACACTCACGCCAACTACATTATATGGGGAAAATATTTGATGAGTGGAATTTTTGTAATTTAAATAGTTTAAATGTGTTAAAATAATGTTATTTTATATTTAAAATGATGTATTTTAAGTGTTTTGAACCATTTAATTCATAATTTTTCAAGTCATCTAACATTGTTGATATATATATATATATATATGCATCTACTACTATCGTTTTTTTTTGTGCGTGAAAAAAAATAATTTTTAACTTTCATTTTAAAATAATTTATATGTAAAATATGTTTTAACCAATCCCATGATAGCAGAAATATGGAGAAAAGTTAGGAATCATGAAAAAAATTTCATAAAAATAATTAAGAAAGATTTATGATATTTGAATTACTTTGATTAGTGTGTGATGTTTTATTCTAAGTGTAATTTAAAGGTCACAAAACTTTTATGATTATTTTCATAAAAAAATTTTCATGATACCTAACATCACTGTTTTTTTTTTTTTTACTTAAGGAATCTATCTCATTAACTATTGGTGTTTCAAGCACAAAGGTAACCCAAATCCCCAAATGAAACTCAGAAAGGAAACAAAAAAACACAATTCACAATTTAATTAAGAAAAAGACTAGCTGGTAACTACTAATCAACAAAAAAACGCTTTTCGCTGATAAAAATTGTCATAAAAACTTGAAGAATAGAGAAGAATTAATTGCGGAAGAAAAAGCTAAAATAGCTGATGACTCTGATATTTACATCGTATTCGTACCAGGAAAGAGCAGAGAAGAAGCAGCTGACATGAATTTTAGGCTAAAAACTAACTACGAGCTTTTATTCAGGAGGAGATGGATTTTGCAGAAGCTTCTCCGTATATATATATATATATATATATTACTCCAGTACCATAACAAACAGAGAGCTTCTTCATTCAAGAGAGAGAGCTGTACATCAACCACAGAACAAAAGACCGAGGAACACATCTGGGAAATTAAATTAGTGGAAAAATTTAATATTAAATTTTTTAAAAGAAGGCCTTTGTGGTCTTCTTTCTTTCTTGGCCTTGCGTTCTCTACCTCATGGCTTTAGCCGAACCCAATCATAACGACCTTCCAATGGCACATCCTTCACAATGTCATAGTTATACCTGCAAAAACGAATTTCGACTCAGAGCTGTACATATTTTTACAGTAGGAGCTGAATTAGGGTTAGAAGAAGCAGTAAGCAGCTCTAGAGGAGCAACGGACAAGATGCGATGCGAGACTCACTTCTCTGTAAATCGTTTATGAATGTCCTTTTCTGCAGCAGCAAAGAATTCTTCGAGTTCGGTTTCAGATGGCATCTTCTCTGCCGACGATCTGCGGCGAGAATTAGCCTCCGATGGCCTCGCTGTTGACTCCAGGTCTCCTGATTCAGCTTGCAGCTCGCTCGAAGGCGTTGTCTCTCTCCTAAAAAAAATTATGGAAAAAAGATATGTGAATTGGGATATATATAGTGGCGAGGAATAGCGAATGAGAACTGAAGGGAAGGAATTTAATGGCGGACCGTTTTTGGTCACTGCTTTTAAATTTCGAAATTGAAGAGCCAAGAAGAAAGGAAGCACATTAATATGAAATTAAATAGAGTGTGTGAAATACCTTTCTCTACAGTCGAAATCACACGTCGATGTTTCAATTTGAACACTGTCATTCTGCAAAAAAAAATAAATTCGAATTTTAAAATTCGAAAAACAAATTACGACACGAGAACCGAAACTTCATTCAAGAGTGAAAAAGAGAAACCAAAATCCATGAGAGATAGGGAGAATTATGTAACTTCCCGCATACCTCCAGATCTACAATTTCGAAGCTCTCTTCACCGTGATGGCTCGATGCGTTACTCGAGCAACAAGACGACGGAAGTGTATCAGAGCTAGGGCTCGAGCACCGATCGTTCAAAGCCGACCGTCGTTCGGAATTCTCCGACGTCGCCGGAGAAACTGAATTCTCCGGCGTCACCAACACACGTCGGCGACTTCTGAGATGAACTAGAGACGAAGAGAACCTCAATTCTCCACCGCTGACCTTCCTCTTCTTCGCCGTTCTGGAGCTAGCCGCAGCCGCCATAGACAGAGCTCGAGCTCTCGTCCTCACACCGACATGAGCCACCTCCATAACTGCAATCTCTACAATTCCTTTACAGTTCCTCATATACTTCCCCATCTCTCTACACCATCTCGAATTCTTCAATCGAAGCTCCGAGAGATTTTCTTCTGTCTTCTTCTTCTTCTGCTCTCTCTCTCTTTCTCTTCAAGTACGTGCACTTAGAATATCTTCTTATCCTGCGTTATTTACTGTTCTTATTAGTTTGAGAGAGAGAGAGAGAGAGAGAGAGAAATGGAGAAGATGGTTATGATGACGACGCGGATGGCAGGGATGCCGTTGAACGGTTCGGATTGGGTTCTTATTGGCTCAGTAGTTACTGCGCCTGTGGTCCCCAACACGCAAGTCCTTCGCCAGTGACGGGTCTTATTGTGGCCGTAACGGGAAATTTGACGGCGCCGTTACGCAGATCTCGTCTGCAGATGGTTGTACGCTGAGCGACTGCGGAATAGAATTACGCCACGTGTTCCTTTCAAGTTTTTACTTTGATCTCATAAATTTTTTTATTATATATGAAAAATAACAGTTATTAAAGAGATTATTTTTTTTATTCTTTAATTGTTTAACAAATGTTTATTAATATTTTCATTAATAGGATTTTTTGCTAAATAATTGATTTAAATTATCACGTGAAAAATAGAAAGAGTAATGCTGGGGACACCAAACTTTCTACTAAATAAATGATCAAATGTCTCACATGGGTGTGGGCCCCACATCCATGTGAGACATTTGGTCATTTATTTGGTAGAAAATTTGGAACTTCTAACATTTTCCAAATAGAAAATGTTATGAGATTATTAACGAATAATTGTTCATTTAACGGAGTTGATAAAAATTAGATTATTAGAGTATTTCTAATGGTCTGGTAAAATTTTTACCAAATTTGAATAAAAAAATGTTGATTTTCTTGATCTGATACGCGTAGCTTCAATGGTTATAGTTACTGTAGTGTGTATCAAAAAAGGAAAGGGACATCTGGTCGATCGGTTCAAATTTTTTTGAACCGTTTGAACCAGTAATTTGAAACGTTTGAACCAGTTCGTAGGCCAATTTTTTCATGAGTCGGTCGACCGGTTGGTCAACCGGGTGGTCGATCTCGTAGTGTAAAATTTTCACAAATTTCTGCTTTAACGACTATGCACAGTGAATTGGTGAAATGAGCAAGTCGTCATCAGTTTGGTGAAACGTTTGATATTTTCTCAATTTGATACTGTTTTGGTGTAACCGTTGGAGCACAAAAAACAACTTTTTTTTTTTTTATCAAATTTGAATTTAATATTAAATTTGGTGAACGGTTGGAGATGGTGTTACAGTTAAATTGAATTTAATGTTTGGTGGAAAGCTGGTTTTAAGCATGATAATTGTGTATATAGTGAAATTACAAGTTGGTCAAGCATATTTAAGTTTCTTGCCACTGCAACATTTGTTAGCTAAATTTTAATTATGAAATTTTGTACCTTGTTTCCATTCCAGGCTTACATTTTGTTGCAAAAAGAGAGTTGCTCCTACCAGGCATATCAAATGATGAGGATAACACTATCTGAAGAGTTGCTGGGATAGTCTGCCCATAATCAATAATAATTGGATAATGATATTTTATTTATCATTTTATTGTGAATATTGTATTAATTTAAAAGGTCTCATCATTCATATTTTTTAATAGTATTATATTTATAAATAAAATATGATAAAAATATATATAATTATTATAATATTATTTGAACGTAATAAATACAAAATTGCGATTGGTGTAAAATTAGTTACATGGAGATGTAAGAGTGCTTAATAACTTTCTAGGAAGAAGAGTTTAATCACCTTATGTACTACTCCAGAAGGTGGGAAACTAACGGGTTGCTTGGAGTGTTTTAAATAAATATATTTTTGTCTTTTTAAATTAAAAAATTGAGAAAAAAAAAGATAGATGTTTAGATTAATTTTGTTTTTTTATAAAAAAATATGTAATAAAAAATTGTATAAATAAAATGTATAGTGAAAGAAAGTGGAGTGGTTGTAGGTAGGGGTGTGCATAATACCGCCGAAACCGCCGAAACCGCCAAAACCGCACCGAACCGCACCGCCAAGGCAAATTCGTTATTATTTGTCAATCGAACCGCCGGTTTTTGATAAGAAAAATGGCAAATTCTAGTGACACTTTTATCAATCCGCCGATTTCTATTTTTCTCCAAAACCGCACCAACCCGCACCGCTATTAAATCATGTTTTATAAAATTCAAAAAATTCTTTTTTACTTAAGTTTGCTTGTTGTTCTATACTTTAGAATATAGTATTACATTACTGTTCGAGGGGAATTTTATGTATTGTATTTGATTATTGTAGCTTCCACGGATGCTTGTAATAAACTGATGGCATAGTCGTTGATATTATCATTTTGTTGCTACACTTGCTGCATCAGAAGAAAGTTTCGCAAGATGCTTAACATCACGGTATCTCTCGTCTTTTTTTTACTCTTTGATTTAAGTTTTGTAATTTGAATTATATTTTTTATAAACCGCCAATCCGCCCAAACCGCCAAGGCAAACCCGCCATTATTTGCCAACCAAACCGCCGGTTTTTGATAAGGAAAATGGCAAATTCTAGTGACACTTTTATCAATCCGTCACCCGCCATACAGTTTCTATTTTTCTCTCAAACCGCACCGACCCGCACCGCGCACACCCCTAGTTGTACGGTTGCCCTGCTGCCCTAGCATGTCTTGTCCAGAAAATAATTGCCTCTTTTGAGGCAAAGTGTTTGAACAGTGATGGTCAGTTCGTGGGGCCTACCATGGGTTCCATTTTAATAATCTAAACCGTTTAATATATACAACTCGTCGAGTATTATATGTATGTAAAAAATCACGTTGATCGGATATCGATAACTATATGATCGGATTATTTTTTTAACAGTTAACTATCACACCATCCGTTTTATTTATACAAAACTGATTTGATCATATAATTAACGATATTCGATCAATGTGATTTTTTACAGGCATATATTACTCGATGAGTTTTACATATTGAACGGTTTGGATTATCAAAACAGAACCCTTAGTGGGCTCTCAAAGGCCCAACATCACCATCAAACTTTGTGGCTTTACATATGTAAAAAAAAAAAAAATTGGCCCAAAAAGTGTATAATGGCCTTCCTGCTTCACAAGTACAGCTGACAATATCCATCAAACTTTGGTATTATAAAAATATATATAATATTTTTTTAATATTTTTTATTTGTGAATAGTAATGATTTTTTTATTTTTTGTGTAACTTTTTAACTTTTAAAATTATTTTGGACTTGTCAAACCAGCCTTAAAGGTCAATTTGGTGTCTCTAAAACTATTGGCCTTCTATTTCTATAGTATTTCTGGAGGAATGAATGGCATGATTCTCAACTATTTCACTTACACATATTACATAATTATACAATGAATAAATAAATTTAAAAGATACTTTAATAAATTATACACTAAAATCCAAATTATATAACTCATTTTTTTTATGAAATTATTAAACTAAGTATTTAGAGATAATTAATATAGATTTATTTATTTATTTCATATTGCTTGTGTAAGAAATTTAGCATTTGTCAAAAGCTAACTTCTGTTTTTGGCCACATTTTATCCTTGATGGGAAGAACTTAAGTATTTTTGGAATGCACTCTATGCATGAGGATGGATGGGAGTGTCTACAGGGTGTAAGCAGTTTGGTTTGATTAAAGCAGAGGGAAAAAAAAAATTAACCGAATTGAGATTTTTGATTCTGTTAATTGAGAAATTAAAATTAAATCAATTTTTTAAAATTTTTTCCGTCTAGTGTAGAGAAGGAATTCACATAAGGTTTTTAAGGCTATTAGATCTCACATGAGAAATAAATAAAGAAAACGGGTAAAAGTTGTTCTATAAATATTTACTTTTTAACTTTAATTATAAATATGTATTATTAGTCACTTATCCTTCAATGCTTAAACAGTTAGGCCATGTTTGTTTGGGCGGACTGGATTAGCATTCCCATGATTAATAGTCCTAGGATTACGAATCCGTTGGATTATGTATCTTATCTTAACTAATAGCCAAGTTTAAAATAATTAGACCGTACTTCAATTGTTTAACCAAACATCGGATTAATAATTTTATTGAACTATTACCTATCTTAACTAATAGCCAAGTTTAAAATAATTAGACCGTACTTCAATTGTTTAACCAAACATCGGATTAATAATTTTATTGAACTATTAGTCTAATCCCAAGCTCATGTCCACCCAAACAAATATGGCCTTATTTTAGTAAGTTCAATTTGAATAGATAAAAAAATTATAAAATCAAATTAAGTTGTACGTTATTAAAAAATATATATATATATATATATATACAATGAAAACCGACATTTTACTAGATCTTAAGTGATCGACTGATTTCTATTAAATTTTTGTACACCCCTAAAAGATGGAGGACAAAATGGTATATGAATGGGGTAATGCTATAGAGGGGAAGAGGGTGGACATGGCACACATGGTGTCATTTAATTTAGCACCATATCAGCACAAACCGTTAGGTAAGTAGTAATTAACTAGTAATGGGTTCAATGCATCCAAACAAAAATGCTATAGATTTTTTTTTTTAATTTTTATTTTAATTTAGGCCTGGTTTGACATGTTGCAAATAATTTAAAAAGTCAAAAAATTACTGAAAAATTTTAAAATTACCACTATTTACTAAAAAAAATAATAATAATTTTATACAAAAATTATTGCAACACAGTCTGTCGTCCACAGATTTTTGAAATGAACCTTATGGAAAAATTGCATAGGATCAGTTCACAAATAGCAAGGTCCTGTTCGGCCCGTGGGGCCTCATCATGGGTCCCGTTTTGATAATCTGAACTGTTCAATGTGTAGAACTTGTCGAGTACTATATATCTATAAAAAATTAAGTAGATCGGATATCGCTAACTACATGATCAAATCAGTTTTGTATAAAAAAAAAATGAATGGTGTTATAGTTAATGGTTGAAAAAAAACTAATCCGATCTGATAGCTATCAATATCTAATCAATGTGATTTTTTACAAGCATATAGTACTGGATGAGTTCTACACATTAAGCGATTCAGATTATCAAAATGGGACCCGTGATGGCCCCCACGGGCCGAATAGTACCGTCTAATGCAATGCCCGAAAAGTAGACAACCATTTCTTATGTCAAACTTCTCTGCCAGATAGGTCAGCCGTACTGCTACTCTCCTAAACTTCTCCTATACACTTTCTTATACAATTTTTTGATATA